AGGGACACGGGGAATCTGGAGAGGGTCCAGAGGAGGCCACTCGCATGATTAGTGGCCTTCGTGATAGACCCTACACGGGGAGGTTGAGAGAGCTGAATCTCTTCACCTTCACAAGAGACGGCTGAGGGGAGACCTTGTGGCCGCCTATACATTTATTAGGGGAGGTCAACGGGGAATAGGGGACGCACTGTTTCCTAAGGCGCCCCAGCGAGTGACTAGGAATAACAGGTGAAAACTAGTTGGGAGTGGATTTAGGTTAGATATTAGGAAGAAATGTTTCACAGTAAGGGTGGCCAGGATCTGGAATGGGCTCCCAAGAGAGGTGGTGCTCTCACCTAGCTTGGAGGTCTGCAAGAGGAGGCTGGACAGTCACCTGGCTGGGGTCGTCTGCCCTCGGGCCTCTTTCCTGCCAGGGGCAGGGGTCGGACACGACGATCTGGTGTGGTCCCTGTGAATCTCTGCTTTTTTCCTTAGGAGTCAGCCTTGGCTTTCAAACACACCGCGATCCCCGCGCCCCGAATGGCGCTGCGCGGCTGGGTGCACGCAGCGTGCGCGCCCGTGGGAACCGGGCAGGGGGTCTGGTTTGTGGCACAGACTAGGGGGGCTTCCTGGGGTGTCTCGAGTGGTTTTAGCGATCTGGTGTGGTCCCTGTGAATCTCTGCTTTTTTCCTTAGGAGTCAGCCTTGGCTTTCAAACACACCGCGATCCCCGCGCCCCGAATGGCGCTGCGCGGCTGGGTGCACGCAGCGTGCGCGCCCGTGGGAACCGGGCAGGGGGTCTGGTTTGTGGCACAGACTAGGGGGGCTTCCTGGGGTGTCTCGAGTGGTTTTAGGAGCGGGGCGGGTGGGACCGTCCCGGGTTTGCTGCGCGAGCTCCGCGCGGGGCGGGGCGGGGCGGGGCGAGGCGTGAGGTCACCCCCCCGCCGCAGCCCTGCCAGGTGACGCCACGGCTGACATCACAGGGTTACGCCTGCGCTAGGAGCCCCAGCATGGAGGCTTGCGAGCGGCTGCAGCGGATCCGGAGACACGTGCGGCTCGTGCCGGACTTCCCCAGCCCCGGCGTGCTGTTTCGGTGGGCAGGGGGCAGAAAGCAGAGCGGCAGACCGGGAGGGGATGGGGCTAACCCGTGCAAGCCGGGCAATGAGGTTGCCCCGCATTGGTGCAGAGAACCCCCAAACCCGGCTGCTTTGGGGGGTCCTGTCCCACGTGCAGCGAACTCCTGCAGTCGGGCACTGGCTCTGCAGGCTCCTCACGGGGCAGTGTTCAGGGGCTCCTCCGCTCTGTGTCTTGCAGCGATATCAGCCCCTTGCTAAAGGATCCCGACGCCTTCAAGGCGGCCATCGATCTCCTGGAGACCCATCTGAGGGCCACCTGCCCGCGCGTAGACTACATCGCAGGTGAGGAGCGGGGTGGAGACCTTGGCAGCCCCGCAGCCAAAAGGCCGGAGATGCCGTGTGACACGGTGACATCGCTGTCTTGTGCCATCACGAGTCATCAGCTGAGGCGCAACGGCGATCCCCGCGCGGCTGCGCCTCGGGGGACACGAGCACGGCGCGTCCCGCGGAGCACGTTGCGCGCTCCAACCTGCGGCCGAGACCGCGGGCGCAGGAAGCGGAGGCTGCGGGCAGCAGAGACGTCGCTTCTTCAGAGCGCTCGCCAGCGGACACGTTTCCTTTGCCACACCTTTGTTGCTTGGTCCCGCAGGTCTGGACGCCCGCGGCTTCCTCTTTGGGCCTCCTCTGGCGCAGAGACTGGGCATCGGCTTTGTGCCAATACGCAAAAAGGGGAAGCTGCCCGGCCCCACGGAGTCGGTGTCCTACGCCCTCGAATACGGCCAGGTGACAACCACGGGAGGTGCTGGGAGATGCGCCCCGTCTTGGTCCCTCCAGCCCAGTGTTTCTCAGTGCGGGCCGTCTTGGTCCCTCCAGCCCAGTGTTTCTCAACCTTTTAAGCAGCAAGTCCCCCCTAACTTCTGAACATTTTGATAAGTACCCCAACGCTCAGTTTTCCAGGGGATTATATATTTACAGACTAATGTGTGCCACATGTCGGAAGAAGGGCTGTGTATATAAAGCCATGATATGACACACGTTTGATCTGGTGTGGGTAGGGTTGCCACCTTTTACCCCAGGGGCGCACAACTCAAGTATGTACCTGGGCTAGGGGTGATGTTGGCCAAAGCTAGGAGGCCTGAACTGATTATTACTGGGGAATTTAAAGTGCGGCGCAATGCAGCGCACCCAATTTTTTGCCATAGTTTTGAGAGGAAAAGGGCGAGAGAGAGAGTGTTGTGGTACCCGCGTACCCCCAGGGGTGTGTGTACCACAGGTTGAGAAACTCTGCTGTAGCCCACTTGCCCGTCTCGCGCAGTGGTGGGATGGATGCTGAGTGGGCGAACGGGGCACATCCAGGATCTTTTCCCTGCCCGCTGCGGCTTCCAGCACCCGGAGGCTTAGGATGTGCTGGGACTGTCTGCCCTGCTCCTCCTTGGCAGCTTTCGGTCTCCTGCAGCTTGAGGAGCAGAGGCTCGTGTGTGCTGGGCTGACAGTTCTGGGCTTGATTTGCTTGTATTTCTACGTGCACGTGTTGCAAAGCAGCGCCGAGGGCATGAGGCTAACACTGCCCGGCCTTTCTCACCGTGCAGGCTGAACTAGAAATCCAGAGCGATGCCGTGGAGCCGGGAAAGAAAGTGGTCCTCGTGGATGACCTGCTTGCCACTGGCGGTAAGAGCAGCAGCCTGGTTCAGCCTGCGCCCCGTGCAGTTGTTCCTGGCAGAGTTGTTGGTGCAGGTCCCCGGCTGCCCTTCACTGTGCGCCTTGGGGAATACAAGCGCAGTCAGTCCCGTGGAGCACGTTGCACTCTCCAACCTGCACGCAAGATCCCAGTCCAGAGGAAATGGAAGCTGCCCGCGCCCAGGCGGGTAGTGGAGATGTCGCATGTCTTCAGAGCGCTTGGAAGGGGGCGGGTTTCCTTTTACACGTCCTTGTTGCTTTGCTCCCTGTACATCTGGATGCCCAGGGGGCTGCTGGAGTTCAGGCCACAGTGCGAGCTGTCACCTGGTGTCTTTGAAATGAGAAGCCACCTGTATGCCCACGGGATCAGCAGGGAGTCTGAGCAGGAGCCAGGGCTTTGCATTGATCTGCACGCTTGGAGTGACTGCATTTCTCCACTTGACGTCTCTGTGCAGGTACCATGTGCGCGGCCTGCGAGCTGATGAAGCGGCTGAAGGCCGAAGTGCTCGAGTGCCTGGTGGTCATCGAGCTGCTGTCTCTGAAAGGGGCCGAGAAGCTGCAGCCTTTCCGTCGCCACTCCCTGCTGCAGTACGACTAGCGCTCGGAGCAGACCGCCCCGGCTGCCTGGCTAGGGCCAGGTCTCGCTCCCACCGCTTGCATGAAGGTTGTTCGAAACTCCTAATAAAACAAACCTCGCTGTCGGCCAGGGGGTACGTAACCTGAGCTGTTTCTGCTTCTTTTCCAAGCCGGGAGCGAGATTCTCGTGTACTCCAAGGCTCTGCGCATGGTGCTGTATGTTTTCCTCACTGCCCACCACCTTTGAGGAAAGGATACGGTGCAGGTGACAGCTTGTGTGGAGCCCAAACCTTGTGGCCTGAGCCCATAACAGCCAGTGTTATCCTTAGACCTTTGGTGGGCTCCTCGGAGGCGGCGAGGCAGTGAGCTATCAGTCACAGAAGAGCCTGGCGCTGCCTGCGGCGTTCCCCGGTGCCCGTATCCTGCTGGGCGAGGCTGCGTGCGTGCAAGAGGCAGGTCATGCAGATGGCCGGTTGTTGGTCGGTCGTGCATCTCTCCCCCTCCTGCCCTCCAAAGCAGGAAGGGAGCTGCTGCCCTCGCACAAAGGCACCAGGCCTCTCACGTGCTTTAACAAATCTGTACAGAACCTGCTTTTCTCCCCTTCTTTTTGTGGGCTGCTGACATCTGTGCATGCACCATCCCGCTCTCCACGCCGTCATCTCAGGTGTGCAAGGAGTCCCTTTGACTCTGCCTTGTAGCACCCCAGGATCCAGACATTTACACTTTTTTTTTTTATATTCCCTGATACCAAAAATCTGCACTGGGCTGGGCCCTGCAGCCCCTTTAGCTTGCGGTAGTGAGACTAGTGAGCACACGAGAGCCTGACCCACCTGTGACTTACTGTGAAATCAGAGGTCAAACAGTGCCAGGGTCGATGATGTGACAGCTGCAGCCAGGTTCCTGCTAACAGTCCGGAGTTGTCACAGTGCCCGGCTTGCCCACGTGCTCTAGTTCTGCAATTAAGACCTGGGGGATAAAGCTGGCGGGGATGGACACGGCTGCATGGGAAGATGCAGCATCCCCAGGGAAGCGGCTGCTAGAAGACCTCCTGGTGGCTCCTTGCATGCCCTGCACGCTCCGCACGAGGTGGGGCGATGCGTGAGGTCACACCCGGAGCCCTGCCAGGTGACGCCATAGGTGACATCACAGGATTGTGCAGTACACTAGAAATGGAGGAGAGGAAGCTGCAGCGGATCCGGGGGGGGATGCTGTTTCGGTGGGCAAGGGATCCGGCCAGGGGCCCTGCGGGCAGGGGGAGAGGGGCCTGGGGCATTGCCCAGCAGGTGCTTCCCAAGCCCAGGGTGCGGCTCCCCACCAGGCAGGGAGCAGAGCAGCAGATCATGCAGGGAGCAGAAAGCAGAGTGGCAGATCGGGAAGAGAAAGGGGATGGGAGCAGCACTTGGGAGGGCGTGGGGCTAATCCGTGCATGCCCGCAAATGAGATTGCCCCTGCTGGTGTAGAGAAACCCCAAATCCAGCTTCTTTTACGGGGTCTGGTCCCATGTGCAGTGAACTCCTGGAAACAGGGCACTAATTCTCCCTGGCAGAGTCCAGGCTCCTTATGGAGGCAGTTTTCAGGGGCCGGGAAGCCAGCTCCTCTGCTCTTTCTCTTGCAGCGATATCAGCCCGTTGCTAAAGGATCCTGATGCCTTCAAGGCAGCCATCAATCTCCTGGAGATCCATTTGAGGGCGACCTACCCGTGCATAGACTACGTTACAGGTGAGGAGCGTGGTGGAAACCTTGAAAACCCTGCAGAGCCCACAGACAGACACGGGTTGGCGAAGGGTGGGAAGGCGCCTTGCAAAAAGGCCGGAGCTGCCGCGTGACACGGTGACATCGCTGTCTTGCGCCTTCACGAGTGTCGTTCTGTGCTAACACCTGTAAAACCAGCGGTGTCCGAAATGTAGCTTCTCCCAGTGTCACTGGCTGCGAGGGCGTTTCCCGCGTTCACAAATGCCTGGCAATGCTCTACTGTCATTACACAACTTTTACGTGAGTGGAGCAGTGAATTCGATAGTGGTGGTGAATCGCTGCCCTCAGTCTTCCTCTCATGCAGCTGGGCGTGTGTGCAGGGGCAGGCCTGGAAGGCAAAGCTGAGCTGTGTCTGGAGGGAATTTCCCCTCCTGCTCATCTCAGGACCACTCGCTGCAGACCCGTTGCAGCTGTGCCGGGCAAAGAGAGCAGCAATATAGCGCCTGATATGATTTTGGTCTATTATTAGACTTTTTTTAAGGTCTAAGGGGGTGAGTTGCAATGAATCCTGCATGGCCGGAGTTGGTACAGCAGTAGCTGAAGTCAGTCCAGAGTACGCGGCAGGAAACAAGCTGATACTGAGACTTAATGAGTGATCAGCTGAGGCACGGAGCGGGGACAACGGTCGTTCCTGGCACAGCTCTGGGTGATCCCTGCACGGCTGCAGATGAGAGGGGGCAGACGGGCAGATGGGGGAGAGGTGGGAGACAGTGAGAAGGGGACAGACGTGTTGTGTGTTCGTAGGGTGAGTCCTACACACATGCACCCCTATACACATGCACACACACCCACATGCTCCCTCACCCCACACTCACACCTCCACCCCCCACCCCCCACGATATACAAGAGTAAGACTTCATTTTAAGCTATTCTGCGCTCACTGCTCTGTACACCACACAAGCACACGCCAATCAGGACTACGATATTTTTTTAAATCAAATTAACGAATGTTGTAGATGTTCAATTTTTAGAATATAGTTTGGTGTTTTTCTGGTTCCAAGATGGTTAATACGCAAAAAGGGGAAGCTGCCCGGCCCCACGGAGTCCGTGTCCTGCGCCCTTGAACACGGCCAGGTGACAACCACGGGAGGCATCTGCAGGCTGGGAGATGCGCCCCGTCTTGGGCAGGGCCGTCGGTCCCTCCAGCCCTCTCTGCCGTCTCGCACGCCGGTGGGGTGGAGGCTGGGAGAGCGTGAACGGGGCACATCCAGAATCTTTTGCCCACCTTCCAGCAACTGGAGGCTTAGGATGTGCCAATTCAGAGGCTGCCCCCACCATCGACCGCGTTCGGTACCTCCTGATGGGCCGCCCCTCCAAGATCAGTTCAGTGCCCTTGAGCCATCGGCCTCCACGGCACCTCGTGGCAATGAGTCCCACAAACTGAAGTCGCGCTGTGGGGAAGAGGAACCTCGTCTTGTTGGGTTTAAACCTACCGCTGCTCTCCCGGCTCTAGTGGTGCATACTAAGAAGAGACGAACTGCCATCAACTGGCTCAGACCCTGAGTCCGTCTTGGGTCACGTAGGGGCAGAGAACAGGAGCTGAAAGGCAGAGTGAACTGGGTCTGAGCAGGGATTTCCCCCCGCCGCTCCTCTCCCCTTCGCAGCCTCCAGCATTGATGGTCCAGGCAGGTCTGATGCAGAGGCCGTGCCCCTCGCTCCTGCTCAACAGCGACCCATGCCCCTTTCCTCCAAGGACGTGTCCCATCCCTTAGTGAATCTGGCTTTACTCTCAGCTATCACCACCACGGGCAACAATGTGCGTGCTTTAATGACCCACTGGGTGAAAAAGAACTACCTTTGGTTAGTTTTGAACTTACCACGTATTTGTTTCATGTTGTGAACCCCTCATTCTTGTATTGCGAGAGAGTCCATAATAAATCCCTATTGACCTTCTCTTTGTAAACCCTTCTCAGGCTTCCTGTCAAGCGTCTCCGTTGTGAACTGACCTGGCCTGGCCTCCTGAGTGTCTCTTCTACGCAAGCCCCTCCATCCCGCTAATCACCCTCGTTGCCCTTCTCTGCTTCTTCGAGACCCTTTTGGGGGGGTGTGGACCAGAACCGAGCCCAGGATTCAAGATAATCCGTCCCTGTGTCCTTCCTCTGCACCTTCCAATGTAATTTCTGGTGTCCCGCCTGTTTGAGACAACCGCGCTGCTTTGGCGATAAAGGGTAGCGCGCTGACTGTCAGGGCGGTTCGGATTTTCACACTAAAGCTGGCAGACGTCTTGGATATGCGTGCGGCTGCTCTGAGCCCAGCAAAGAGAACGCGGCTCTGGGTGTCCGGGAGTCTCTGCTTTGTTCCAGGTCTGTCGGGGGAACGTCGGGGGACTGAATGGCATTAGCACGGGGGATGAATAAGCTGCTGGAGTCGAACCACTGTTATCCGAGGGTGTGGGTTATAGCAAGACGAGGTTCTTCGGGGAAATGTGATATCTATTATTAGACCAACTAAAATAGCTGGAAAAAAATCTTTGCAAGCTTTCGGGCACAAACACCCCTCCTCGGGCAGAGGGAGCGCCTGCAGCTGGTTCGTGCTGGGGGTTATAGCAAGGAACAGCAACGAACAAGGTGCCGATTACTGGGGCAACTAATTCCGGACTGACCCCAGGTTCTGTGCCTTGCTGAAGGCTGCTAGACCAGGGCAGAGCAGATGATACGAGCGTCCGTCCTGCTTCCCCGCCGCCTCATTTCAGCAGGTGTTTTGCTTGCTGCGTGGCTCTAAGGCAGAGCTCGTGTCTGGCAGCTGGCTTTGTCCCTGGCCCGGAGTGGAAGAGGCAGCGCAGCTGCACAGTGATCTCTTTGCTGGCTGTCGGGTGCTGCTGTAAGTCCGCCCAGTGAAACGGGGCTGCGGCAGGTGGCTCTTTGCATAGGGAAGGTTTTCCTGAGGGTTGCTCGGCCCATTCTACATTTGAACTGGACTCATCTCTCACCCAGCATGGGAGAGAAGTGCGTGGTTAGCCGGGACTGTCTGCTACCCTGTCGCAGCTCTCAGCAGAGCTAGTGCCTGGGATGTTGTATCCCAAAGCCAGCTGGGACTGTGATCACAAGCACTCGGCCAGTGTGATGCACACCGGAGTGCACACCTAGGTGGGGGTGCCGGTCTGGGATGAACGTGTTCCCCGGTGGGAAGGGGCAGCTCTCTGGCTAGTTCTTTGGCAGCTATTGATCTCCTGTAGCTTGAGCAGAGGCCTGTGTGTGCTGGGGACTGACAGTTTTGGGCTTGATTTGCTGCATTTCTGTGTGTGTGTTGCAAGGCAGTGCTGTGGGCATGCGGCTAAAACTGCCCGGCCTTTCCCACCCTGCAGGCTGAGCTGGAAGTCCAGAGCGATGCTGTGGAGCCGGAATGGAAAGTGGCCCTCGTGGATGACCTGCTTGCCATGGGCGGTAAGAGCAGCAGCCTGGTTTGGCGTGCGCCCTGCACGTTCGAGCGTCTGGGCTTCCCCCGGGGAAGGGGCTGCGAGCAGGGAGACGCTGTTGGTAAAAGCGCAGGGTGTGGGACTTCAGGGGGGAAGACTGCAGCAGCGACCTGGGGCTCTGAGCTGCTTCTGAGGTACCTACAACCCCTGCCGTAAGGGCTGCTGGAGGTCAGGCCAAGTTGCAAGCTGTCCCCTGGTGTCTTTGAAATGAGAAGCCACCCGCACACCCAAGGGATCAGTGGAGCATCTCGGCAGAAGCCAACGCTTTGTACTGATATGCACGCTTGGAGCGACTGCATCTCTCTCTGCTCTACACCTCTGCGCAGGTGCCACGCGCGCGCTCTGCGAGCTGATGAAGCGGCTGAAGGCCGAAGCACTCGAGTGCCTGGTGGTCATCGAGCTGCTGTCTCTAAAAGGAGCGGCCGAGAAGCTGCCTTTCCGTCGCCACTCCCTGCTGCAGTACGATAGCGCTCGGAGCAGACCGCCCCGGCTGCCTGGCGGGGAGGCATGAACTCCTGCGTTCTTTGGGGAAATCGGATATCTTTTATTACACCAACTCAAATAGTTGGGAAAAGTTCTTCTGAACAAGCTTTCAGGTTTAAAAACCCTTAGTCAGGCCGAGGAAGCATCTGCAGTTGCCGTCTGCTCTTGCTGGACAGAATGAATAGTAAAGTGGGCAGAGGCCGGGCTGCTGGCAAGACAGGCCGTCAGTGCAAACGAGATTTGAGGAGGCAGCCGGTGATTTGAGAGACGGGCGGGGGGCGAAGGAATGTAGCCTGTAAATGGTGGAGAGGTACCCAGGGAGTCTGGTATTAGGCGGGTTACACCATGTCATGAATCCAATGTCTATATTTAGTCCATGATTTTTTGTATCCAGGAGGGGGTTGAAGTGAAGTTTGTGAAAAGTCTTTTGTAAAATCCCTTTGAGGATTAAAACAGATTGAGAGAGTGGTTTCCTTGTGAGAAATGTGCCCCCGCTGGTCATGGGTATCCTCGTCTGTAATAGAGGCCTGGTGTGCATTCATCCTCGTGCCCAGCTGTGGTCCCCGGGTGAGATATAGGACATTTCTGGAGGTGCAGGCGTAAGATCTGGGACTGGCGATGGGTCTGTTGTGGGGTGGTTATTGTGGGAGCGGTGATGTGTTGGCAGGTTTTATATGTCTTGTCCTGATGTGGCCTGGAGCCATGCGGTGCGTTTTGGGTCGTGGGACCTTTGCTTCTGGGGATGAGGTTGGCAAGGTTCGGTGCCTGTTTGAAGGCTAGGATGGGTGCCCTGCAGCCCCTTAGCTCGGGGTAGTGAGAATAGTGAGCACACGACAGCCTGACCCACCTGTGACTTACCATGAAATCAAAGGTAAAAGTGCCAGGGTCAATGACGTGACAGCTACAGCCACATGTCCTAGCGGTCAGCGGTGTCCCAGTGCCTGGCTTGTCCATCTGCTCCAGGGCTGCACTTAAGAACCGGTGGGCAAAGCCGATGGGGATGGAAAGGGCTGCATGGGAAGGTCAATGATGTGACAGCTACAGCCACGTCCTAGCGGTCAGCGGTGTCCCAGTGCCTGGCTTGTCCATCTGCTCCAGGGCTGCACTTAAGAACCGGTGGGTAAAGCCGATGGGGATGGAAAGGGCTGCATGGGAAAGGGGATCCTTCGCTTGCTGGAGTAGAGCAGTCGGTGCAGGAAGCTCGATGCCAATACAGCTCAAGTTTCCGTGCGACTAGTATCCAAAGCTTAGTAGTCGTTTTTAGGCCAGAGGCTCCATGGTCCCAGGTGCAGCCAGGAGCCAGGGCCCTGAGACTTGTGCAGGGGCACGCGACGGTCTGGACCAAAGGCAGAGTTGATCGGTGATAAATGTCAACCCTTTTATTAAATCCAAGGTGTCCGTGAGCTCTTCTCCGAGCAGAAAAGTTGCTCGGTTTTGCGAGCGTTTCCTGCCCAAGATGCTGGCAGCTGGTGACACCGACCCCTCGGGCCCTGGCTTTGCCCTGCGCTCCCAGACCCAGCCGACTGGCCCAAGGTTTTCTTTCCTTGTAGCTCTGAGTCCCCCCAGCGCTTACCGAGCCCTGTGCTGCCGCAAGCTCTCGCTGGAAGGTGATGTGTACTCATCTCTCAAAGCCTGGACTTCCAGGGGGCATTAAATCTCCCCCTGCCCAAACTCATGCTGGGCATCGAATACAGCAAGATAGAAGCAGCAGTGGCTTATCTGAACCTCAGGTACAAAGCCATGAGCTTGCTGGGAGATGCATGCCTCTGCTTGCAGAATTGCTCAAAATCCAACCCTTGCAGAGGGGAGGGAAGCAGTTTGCTTCTGCCCTTTCCACAAACCTGGTTTTGGCGCTGTGTCCCCTGCCTCCAGCTCCCTGGAGATGCCCGTGGTAGCAGGTGCAGCACTACAGACCCCGTTCCCTTCTCCGCTGCTGAGCAGGGGAGTCCGGACCTGCCTCTGGCTACCCCCCCGACCCAGGTCCTGGTATTTCACCTCCACGGGCAAGTGCTGTGCTGGCCGGAGGGGCGCGGGTTGGAGCTGCGTTGATCGAAGGACACAGGCAAACAAGGGTAAATGTGATGTCTGGCCTGAACAGCCCATAAAACTTATGCAGTGTCAGAACCGAGGAGCTAGGGTCCCACTGAATATTTACCATCTGCAGCCAGCGCCTGCCTTGGCCAAGGGGCAGGACCGCAGCTGGGCAGTGGAGGAGGAAAAACTCAGGTTCCACCCAGCACGCCCGTGGAAAGCAGCTGTAGAAATCCTCCCCTGGTTTCAGCTGCCAAAGCAGCGGTGGCAGGCCAGGCCACAAGTTTCTACCAGGTTAGCCAGGGCCAGGCAGCACGCAGGGGGGAGAAAGGCAGTGCAGACCCTAGCTCCAGCGCTTATGGGGGTCTGAGCAACCCATAACGCTCCACTGCCCTGGCACTGAAGACGTTGGGGGGGGACTTTGAGATAGCTGGGGAGCAGGTTTGGGAGGCTCCAGGTTTGCTTTAGGCAACAGCACATGGGCTTGCTGGGTGGGAAGGGGCCAGCACTTTGTCGCGGAGTAGAAACCAGCTTGCCAACCCCTACTGTGTTCACCCACATCTAAGACAATCCCCCCCCCCCAATTCTGATACATGCAGAAGTGGTACAGTTCTCCATGTCTACAATCTAATTTTGTAGATATTAAAATTCATTCCCCCACCCCAGCTGCAGAGGGGCAGGCAGCAGGGGAGTCAGGTAGCCTTCCCCCTGCCCCTTGCTGCCTCCCACCCCCACCGCTGTATGGGGGGGGGACGGGGACACCTCATCTTAGATTTGAGTAAATACACTAAATAGTTTGTGAAGAAAGGCTTTTCCCAATCACTCGTACTGGGCTGCAGGGCTCAGCCTTTCCAGCTCTTCTCCATCACCCTGTTCGAGCCACTTGGGAGGTGAAACAGCTTTTCTCCAGGGAGATGGAGGAGTTCAGAGGAACACCTCCAGCACCCCGCTCCCTGCAGCCGCAGCTCTGGACGATTCCCTCTGCGGGTCCGGACGCTGCGAGGTTGAGCGTTCCCCACGCCGGGGCAGGAGGGTGACTCAGTTATGTCACAGCCATGTCCAGGTGTCCGCGAAGCTGGAACTCTGGGCAGCTTCGACTCAGGTCAAGTTAGCAAGCCAAAGCCAAAAGGGAGTCCTCGGCTCCTAGCCTTGGCCTCAGCCTGCTATGTACTCGTCCTAGTCTATTCTCCTGCCCTGATAAGAGCCCCTTCTAGGCGTGGGCATTGCCACACTGCCATGCAGAGAAGCGAGGGGCGACGCTGCACTCAGCTGCCAGGCCTCTGCTCACAGATGCCAGGGGCCGACTGAGCCAGTCCACCCCTCGCTCTGAGCCACACGGCCTGCACAAGAAAGCCTGCACAAGAAGCCACACTCAGCCTTCCCAGGATCTGGCCGATAACCCAGCCTCCCGCCACCAGCAAGGCTTAGCTCTGAGCTGCAGGGACCTGCCAGAGGCCATGTGGAGAAGGGATCCTCCAGCAGCTGGATGAGGTAAGGGCTCCTTCGTGGAAGCAATTAAGTTTAATACGAACATACGGAAAACTATGTACACAGCCGAGGCGCCTGGCCAGCGCTAGGGCAGTAGATGCACCCCCCTTCCCAAACCCGGAATAATGCATAAAAACAGTGGCGGAAGCACCTGTGATTTTAAAAAGGAAACTCCACCGGTAACAAGCACCGGCTGCCTTGAAGGGCATTCAATTAACGGAAGAAACAGACAATAAGACTCCCTCCACGGAGCCGAGCTATTAAAGCATCTGGGAGACTCGTGCCTGTGCGGCTCAGAAGGAGCTGGCCGGGTCGCAGCCCAGGGCAGGGTTGGACTCACATGCAGCCCGTTACTCTGAGTAGCTGAGAGCGCGGAGCTGCAAGGAGACACGTCTAGTTCACTTGCTCCAGGCAGAGAGCTAGGACCCGGCTGCCCTCCTGTGCGAGCAGGGGCCAGCGTCCAGCAGGATTGGGGTAAAAACAAGTTAAAACAAGGCGCCCGTCTACCTCTCTGCCTTCCTGCTGCGGCAGCCAACAAGACCACCAGCAGCCCAAAGGGGCTTCCCTGCAGGGTCCCACTCACACGTTGCCTGCTACATTCCTGGCACAGATTGCACTAAGTGAGGTCTGCAATCCCAACCCCACTCACCCCCAACCCATCCCATCCCAGTGGGGATCAGAGCCTCTCCTCCTCGTGGATCAGCTTGCTCAGTCTCTCCACGATGATGTTGAGGTCCTTGCTCTTGTCCAGCTTGATGTAGGTGTCCTGGCGGATGGGGTGGAGGCTGACCCAGTCAGGCAGCACCTCGGAGAAGAGACGCAGGTGCTTCTCCATCTCACCTGCAGGGAACCGGGAGTGACAGAAGGTGAGTCCCCCGCCACTGCCCCTCCTGGCTCGTGAGCTGCTGACCACCCGCGGGAAGCAACATGGGGCAGGTCACCACTTTTGGATAACACCCTTGGGTGGGGAACTAAAAAAAAAAGGGGGCTGGAAGCCCTTCTCCACCTAGTAGTTAATCCAGGGGGGCCTGGGCTACCCAGAGCCTTTCCATGTGCTAGAAGCTAGAGGGATGACGTGAGCAAGCAGAGGAACACGCATCAGGGTAGCAGGACCACAGGGGCCAACTATTCACCCGTGCGGTGGGAAAGGGAGGGAACGTGGATGCAGAACAGCTTGACTGGGACTAGGGCACCTGGCACAGGCGCTGTCGGGGAATACCCCTTCCCTTACCAGGCGCCATTGTGGTGCGGTAGCTGTCGATCATGTGGGTGCAGGCCACCTCCACTGTCAGCGCCTGCTTCTTCTCCGCCACGAACACGGTGCGCAGCAGCCGCGCCATCTCTGGCAGCCGTGCCAGCATGGCCAGTCGCTGCTCCCGCTCCGGCGCCCGCGTCATCAGGGCCTGCAGCTTCTGCGCCTCCTTGGCTCGGATCTGGGGGAAGGAGAGGAGGGCTGGGTCACACCTGTGGAGCCCCCGAGCACAGTCACTGGCCAACCCAGCACCAGGCTACTCACCCGCTCCAGCAGAGACTGGGACACCCCTCTCAGGGCACTGGGGGTGCCAGCCGGGGATGCTGCTGCTTTGGGCACCTCCTGCTCGGTGGCACTGGTTTCGGCCGTTCTCAAAGCCAGGTTGGCAAGGGCCTTTTCCATCTGTGGGCAGAAGAGGCAGGTCACGGGCAGCCCCTTGCAAGCAGCTTTTACCCAGGGCAGCTGTGGCCCCACCTCACACCACAGGAACCAAGTTTTAGGCCTTTCCTGGCTCAGCCCCAGCCCCAGCCCCACAGGCTCCCCAGGGCATAGGGTCCGCCTCAACTCATCTCTCTGCCACCCAGAAGCCAGGGGTGGGCATATGTGCCTTCTGGTTGCCACAACAGGCAAGACAACGACTGAGGTTGGTGTAGTCAGCAGCATTAACCCACTGGTTAACCATTAACCCTCACCCCCAAGTGCCTCCCTGGCCCACGAACCTTGGGGGACATCATGCTCCGGGCTTTGGTCAGCACCTCCTGGGCCGTGGTCATCTTGTCCACTGTCGGAGGCTGCGGCAGCTCGGCCGGCACGACATCCGGCACCTCATCCACGTTGAAGCGGGGGTGCCACCGGGTCAGTTGGTCATCAGGCACGGCCAGGGGCGGGCTCAGAGATGTCAGGAAGGTCTAGGGCAGGGAAAGGCTGCCAGTTGCAGGCTGCGTTCCCCCATGGGCTGGGACCCAGCCCTTCACTGCAGCCTCTGCCTCCCAGCATGCAAGAACCAGAGCCAAAAGGATCCAAGGTCTTGTCTGAGTCTCTCCTCCGCTCCACACCCTCCTGTCTGCCAGGCCCCAGACTCCTCCAAAGCTGATAGCGCTATGGCCCCACCATGCCTTGCTCCAGATGCCATGCCAGCCCAGCCCTGCCCTCCCTCTAGATACCCAAGGGGGGACCTCAGCATTGCAGTCCTTGCAAGGGGTGGGAGCAAAGCCAGCAGATGCCCCAGGCAGTGCACAATGCCATGAGTTTCTGCAGGGAAGAAAGCTTTCAGGCACCAGGGAAGGACCCATGCTCTGCAGTGTCCTGCAGGTCTGAGGGTTTGGGGGCAGATCTGCGCCGTCCACCCAGCAGAGCCCCATACCTTGTGATGCTCCTTGACCAGGTTCACCAGGTTCCTGCCGAAAACCTTGCGGCGCTCCAGTAAGCGCGATGCCGACAGGTGGGGACGGCCATCTACCTTCTCCTCTAGAGAGAGAGGGGGAGACAGGTTCCTCCGTCAGAGATGGGCACGACCCAGCTGCATCCCAGTACCCATCTCCAGGCTACATTCCCAGGACCAAGGCTCCAGAGTCTGTCTTTTGTTCTTGTACCAACAGCCTCAACATACTCCTGACCGCTACCAAAACCCACCATGCCCACGACTAACCTGTCCAGTCACTGGAGGCAAGACAGATGGGGAACAGCATACCCAGGCCTCAGCTATCCTAGCATCACCAGCTCATCCCAGACTATACCAGCGGTCCGAGAGCTCTGCGAGATGCAGGTCTCCATCCCATCCCAAGCACAGCAAGCGGTGACACATACCTTCCCCCAGCACGGGCTCGATGGTGAGCTGGTAGCCAGATCGCTTCATGCCAGCCCCGAAGGTAGGGATGTTGTTGTCCTGGCGCAGCGTGTAGGAGGCAGGGTACACTGCTTTGATCTGACCCACGTGCCACTGCTCAAACTGCCTGCAACCAGGGGAGAGGTGGAGCTGGAGCCCCTCTAAGCCTGAACAGGGGCTCCAGCTCGGAGGCCTGACAGCAGCCCATTGCTGCCAACGCGAAGTGCATTGCAAGGGGCAGAGAAAACACCAGCGTGAGAGCACAGAACCACGCCGAGCCAGGGGAAGTGGCCCAAGCCAAGCCCAGAAGCTGAACCTCAGGATTTGATCTCCAATACAGAGAGGCACGTCCCTGGCTTTAGAGGATGAAAGCTTTCTGGGGTCAGACTCACACAACTCAGCTAAAGTAGCAGCAGGGGCAGGGCTGCTGGAACCAGGATCACAGCAGGATCTTCCCCCTCCCCTGCTGTCAGCCCAGCACAAGCACCCCGAGTTCACTCCACGCTGTACAAGCCCCTGCCCCGAGAGCAAGAGCCAGCCATCTGCCCCTTGAAGACGGCCGCCGGCCCTCTGCCGTGTGCAAGGCATCTCAGTCCAAGCCTAGAAGGTCTAGGGCGGCTGCATCGCTGGCCAGGCTACGGCAGGGGCCCCCCCGCCCCTAGAAGGTCTAGGGCGGCGCCATCGCTGGCCAGGCTACGGCAGGTCCCCGCCAGCCACCATGTGGCCGTGCCCCTTGGCAGGGAGGGCTTACTTGTGCATGATGTCCTGGACGCCCTGCTTGACTTTGGCGAAGGTGATGGTCTCGGCGCGGTTGAAGAGCATCCCTACGATGGTGTCCATGCTGCGGAACATCTCGGCCAGCACCTTGTACTTGTAGGGCAGCGTCAGTCCGGGGGGCACGTCCTGGGCGAGGGTGTGGAACCTCTGGTAGGCAGGTGCCTTGTCCCTGGAAAGGAGCAGGCGTTAGCCCCTTGCTCCCAAGGGAGGAGGGCTGCACTGACTGGGGCAGGGACTGCTGAGACAGCCCACCCTGGGGAGGCTGGATGTGGTGGGGGTATGTCCTCCCCCCCAGGGTCTCATTCCTTTGCCATTAGGCTGCCTCCCAGCTCTATCTCGGGGGCAGTCAAGAGCCCTGCAGGTGACCCAGGCCAGCCCTAGCTTTGCCTGCGACAGCCAAGAAGCTCCCCAGCCAAGAAGCTGGGGGGTCTCCCCCAGCTTGCATCAAGGTAATGGCTCCCTGAAGCAGGAGTCCCCTTCCAGCAGCCCCCAAGTGACCACCTCCTCACCCAGTTGCAGCCGGGGGCTCGCTGGGCTCTCTGGATGGCTCCGGCTCAGGTGTCTTCTTCTCCGCCCGCCTTTTGCGGATCTTGGCTTCCAGCGCCTGTGCTTGCTTGAGGCGGCTCTGAAGGGCAGCGCACGTTTCCGTGGAGGTGGCGGGCAGCTTGGACTTTTGCGTCAGCGCTTGGAGTTTCTGCAGGCGGCATTTCAGCTGAGCAACGTCCTCCTGGCATGGGGAGAGGCGACAGAGACCGGCACTGAGCAGGGGAAGGCTCCACCTGGAAGCTGGAGTGTTTACAATCGCTCAGGTCCTGCCTGAGCTGCAGGGGATAGGTGTATGGAGCAGGGAAGCACTGGTGAGACAGACCCGGGAAGGGGTTTTCCCCCCTCTGCCGGTTTCCTCCAGCTTACAAGGTCCCCGGCAGAGCCAAGAAGGGGGTGCAGCTCGGGAACAGTGCTCCCACCAGACCACCCCTGGGAGCCACGGGCTATCGCAGGGGCTGGCAGCACCTTGTTCTGGACCCGCTCGAAGCTGCAGTTTCCCTCCTGGGCGGCCAAGCCAGCCGGCAGATCGCTTTCCTGCCTGGGGCCCGGTGACAGCGTCCTGTTCACCACGTTCTTCGCCTTCTTGTCGAGGGAGGACGGCGTCGGGGGTCCGGCGGCTGCTGCCGAGCTGGGGCTGGAAACCTGCAAGAGTTTGGCATTGGGCATCACTGCCCTGTTGCGAGGCACTAACACGTCTCCCTTCTTCTTTCCTTAGGAGAGGTGCCGTTAGCCTTACATTTCAAAGGCACCCTGATTCTGGCAGACTGAAGCCTGCTGCCAGGGGCAGAAGCGAGCGCTCATTCCTGCGCAAAGCAGTGGGCCGCACTGGACGGGCGATCCCCAGAGAGCCCGACTCTGCCACAGGGCCCTGTCTACACTAGGCCCACGTTCCTCCCCACAGCTGGGCAGCATCCTCAGCCCCAGCAGGCGCCCTGGATCCCTGCTGGGATCTTGTCCCTGCACACGTGGTCTGATCCCAGCGCTCAGCCCCCTCCCCCACCCGGGCGCTTCCCTTTCAGCCTCAAGATAGACCCCACCGCACCGCACCCTCTTAACCCCTGCATTACCGCCTACTCCCTTAACCCCTTCCCTGCCGCTGGGAACCAGCTCCTGATGCCACCAGTGATCCCAGCGCCTCGCAGCGTGCACTCCATCCCCTCTACAAAGGCAGCCCGGATCCGGCCTGGGGCGGTACGTACCGGGGCGCGAGGCTCGGGCAGC